CTTGGGAATTTACTAGCGTATTTTTGTCTGATACAGTTAAATGGGATGTTAACTACATCTCAGACTGCATGTCTACGAAAGACTCCTAGAGCTGCTTCGCTGTAAATTTGTATTCTAGAAAGTAAATTTGTATCCTAGAAGGCAATCAAAGGATTTAGAGCTCTCTGATAACGTACACCCAGTCACATAGTGCTTGACTGCACAGACCTGCAACACTAACGTGAGCCATCTAAGGAATTAATATGAAATATAAGCTTAGAACAAGTTAAGAAACTGGTATTTTTCCTTTTTCAGTGAAAAACGGTAATAATATAATTATGTTCAACCTAGTACATTATCAAATTCTGAGTCAAATCCTGCACTTAATCATAAAGCAGTGTTGTTCACTACAGTGTGTCTCTCCCAGTGGGCAGTGTCCAGGAACAGAAATCTAGAATTTCATCCGTATGAGCACTTCAACATGGCAATATAATGTATTCACGTGCAAGTCCCCAACCTGACTGAAATGTGATTTTGAGTAAGGAAAATCTAAAAAGTAAGGTCTGGGCAGAACAAACTGTATGTTTTTTAAAACAATTATGATATGATAAACAGTCACAATGAAATTAAATTGCCCTCTTCTAGTACAACACACTGTGGCAAAGCTATTTCATATTTCATCATGCTCTGAAAATTGAAACTAGCAGTTTGAACATTTGTTTTATCTTCTTTTGCCAGCTCAGCATTTCATTAGTCCAGAGGAAAATTTGCACATTCCATCTGTAGCAAGAATAAAAAGCTCAGGAAAGTACAAATGAAATGTAACTGTTGCCTCTTAATTTATTAGCCAAGTACACTGGGCTTTGGAAAAAATGCAAAACACTATTTGCAAGATTCTTGCTTAAGTGACAATCTTCCATTAACCTGGAGAAACAAGCAAAGGTTTCCTTTGAATTCTGCCACAAGAGAACAAACGGGGAAAGCACCTCCTCAGGAAGTTCCTACATGCCCACCCACCAAACCTCTTAATCCCAAAATGCCTACCCAAGGGCAAAGCCTGCTTCCACCTGTGAATTCTCTGCCTGCCCACTGAAAGCATTTGTTTTATACCACGCCCCTCCCGCACCATTGATTAGAACAAGACTGGAGGAGGCAAGACATAGGAGGGAAGAAGGGGGGCAAATATACAGCATGTCCAGAGAAGGGCAACGAAGATGTTGAAGGGTCTGGAGAACAAGTCTGATGAGGAGCGGCTGAGGGAACTGGGGTTGTTTAGCCTGGAGAAAAGGAGGCTCAGGGGAGACCTCATCGCTCTCTACAACTACCTGAAAGGAGGTTGTAGTGAGGTGGGTGTCGGTCTCTTCTCCCAAGTAACAAGCGATAGGACGAGAGGAAATGGCCTCAAGTTGCGCCAGAGGAGGTTTAGATTGGACGTGAGGAAAAATTTCTTCACCAAAAGGGTTGTCAAGCATTGGAACAGGCTGCCCAGGAAAGCTTGTTGAATCACCATCCCTGGAGGTATTTAAAAGACATGTAGATGTGGTGCTTAGGGACATGGTTTAGTGGTGGACTTGGCAGTGGTAGGTTAATGGTTGAACCTGATGATCTTAAAGGTCTTTTCCAACCTAAATGATTCTATGATCTTATTTATTCTATGATCTTACAGTTAAAAAACCCAAGGCTATTTTGAAGTTCAGAACAAATGTGGTCCCACAAAAATCACTGAATCTAGGATATTTTGAAACAACATCAAATTTCCAAGTGGAAAACATCCCAAACAACTGAAACAATTTTTTCAAAAAGCCGAAGGGAAAAAAAAAAAAGCAATTCTTCCTGAATGAGCTTTTTTTTTCCCTTCTAAATTTCACCTTATCCAAAACAAATTTATTCCTTTTAATTTTCATCAATGATCTGTGAATCCAACTGCACAGCTCAGTCACTGCTTACTTCTGCAGTTGTAGTTTTCCTATTAGATGTGGTGATTCTGACCAAAATTGAAGAAGAGACATGGGGCTAATAACCAGAAGAGAGGTCAATGAAGAGAACATTTAAAAGACTAAAAAGACTTTCTGTTAACTTAGGTCTTTTTCTTGGTAGTGAACATCTAGCCACTGTCTGGAGCCAGTGCTTTCTTTGTCTATGAATGTGCTAATTAAGCAGAACTTTGCTTATTTCAACTTTCTGTCCCTGCAATGCCACTTTGTTGATTCTCATTAATGTGATTTTCTTCCTTTTGTCCTACACCTCTATCATAGCTTGTATTAGGAGAAATTAAAACGCTTACTTTAATTTGTCTGAGTCTTTCTGCTTGGTGCAAAGGCCTATGAGGAATCCTAAACACAAATACATTATCACAATACATCCCAGAACAGACATCACATACAGCTAGGTGGTATTATTAAATGATAAATATTGTCAACATTTTTAAACATAGACTCCAACAAGCACATACATAATCACAGTTAACAGTAGTCTGAGTAAGCAACTGAATTGTAGGCGTAGGGATTTTTCAGTAGGCTTTGCTGAGTAGCCCTGTTTGCTAATGGCTGCCTAAAAGGAACTAAAAAAGCAGACATACACATGTAGCAAGACCCATGCATGCACTAAGCCGCGACAGCACCAATGGCACTGTTCTTGCTACATGCATTCCTCTCCATCTGGGACAGGATTTGCTGTTTAAAATCTGTTCACACAGCTTACTGGACATCTGTCAAAAGCATGTCAGTAATGACACTGGTTACTACTGAGTCAGAGGTGAAAGGCTGCACACACAAGTACAAATTATAGTCAATTAAATGTCAAAATCAGTAAGTAGTTAAGAGTATGTTGGTTCTGAAATAATTTATGTATCAAACAGTACAGAAATTCTAGGGGATTTTGCCAACAAATCAAACAATGAGCTATTGAGCAAGGAAGAGGTAAACTCATGTTTCCAAAATGCCAATGTTCCTTCCTTTCTTCTCTTTAGGGCTTTAATACTATCCTACATGAAAGATGTGGCAAGATGGCATTGCATGAGAATACGGAACACCATGTATCAACCAGCAGAGCATGACATCTAGACACAAGCCTAAGGTAATTACAATGATGCTCCCAGGTCAAAATACTGTGTTTGAAAATTATAGCAGATAGGTCACATAATATATGTTATATAGTTGCGTTACATAGTTAGGAAAGCATTCATTTTGAGAGACCATTGTTTCTTCCATGCACATCAAAGCCATTTTTGTAAGTCTTCATGGGAAGTTCTGATTTAAACGCAGTCCTTCAAAGTAACTTCTAAATAGTCCTAATATCAAAGCAAGGATCTCAGAACAAATTAGTAAGACTCACTTCAAAGATCTCCCACAAAAAATACCTATGATGCTTCTTTTTTTCATGAAAATAACCAACAAACCCCACAACAAAAAAGCTATTTTCTCATAGCACTCTGAAGTACAGCATACATCTTACAACAGCTCCAGGTTCCACCAGTTGGTTTTTTCCAGCTCTGCAGCACAACTCCAACCTCCCATCAAAATGAGAGCCAGGAACTTTATCAAGAATTTCCCAGATCAAATATTTTACAGGGAAAACCCTCCCTTCCTCTGTTTGGGTCACTGCTGGTTTTCCACCGAGTCAGCTATCTGGCTCTGTCCATCTGGTTCCATAAAGCCTTTACCCCAATCACACCTGGAAATCGCAAACACTGTGGAAAGCTTAGCAGAATACCTAAGCTTTTCCAGACTACCTAACTGATGGAGCTGCAGACATACCCCTCTGAAACAGGCTGGGTGATAGGAAAACAGAACACAGGCTTAAAAGCTGACTAAACAAGGTGAAGGCATGTGGCAGGTCACACCCAAATGGTTTCCTGTTCTGTATTTTTCATGTGCCTTTGAAATATTTGCCGAAACATTTTCTATTATTTGAACTTAGTTTTATTAAATACGTTGTGTGCAAACGGAAGCCTGAAGAGTTTTACTGGACAAAAACCTTAGAACAAAGGAGGAAAACAATGGCTGAATAGAAGAGGTGCACAAGCATATTGTGGAGTCATCTGTTGGCATTAGAGAGAAAAATACCTTTCTCTTTATCATTCAAATCAATGTCTTGGGGTGTGTATGTACACATGTTCCTAATACTTAATGAATCCTATGAGTGCATACTCACTCACTTTAAACAGTTTCATTGGTCTACTGACAGCCAGATTATACGAAAAAGAGCACTCTGATGCATATCCATAAACATTCTCCAGTCCATTTGTCAGTCTTACAATTTAATGTCATTTGTAAGATTGTAAATCTTACAATTTAATGTCATTCAATTTTTGAATTGGGGGGGGTAATTGTTTTATTATTTACTTTAAATCAGAGATTTCAGACATGAGTTTAGTTCTGTAGACATCTTTGTCAGTTTACGTCAGAAGATATATTAGAGTTCAATGTATATGTACCATTTTCCTGAGATAAAAACATAAAGACTTTAGTATACTGTATCTTTTAATAATTTAGAGCATGCCACATCATGATAATTTTTATTATTCTGTATTTTATTTAACATAAGTAACATACATTTGCTTTAGAAATTAAAAAAAGGAACTAATTTAGGTTGGCAAATAAAATATTAACATACACATACCAAAACTTTACTATCAGTACATCTGTGAAACACACTGGCAGTATAAGGAGCTATTGGATGAAATCCTGATACTGCTGACATCAAATGGGAATCACTGCATTGCTTTGATGTGGCCTGTATTCCACCTAGGCTGTTTAAGCGTTATCTGTACCATGACACTAAGAAGCAAGTCTTTCTCATATTACAACTTACTTTTTGAGGTGACAAAACACTGTAAATACATTAGCACTTTAACTCTCAAACTTTTCCCAACATGATTTTTCATGTTGTAATGCCTATAGATGGTTCTACATGGTTTTAAAGACATGCTTTGAAAATTAAAGGAATATGTGTATAAAAACCAAACAAATGAAAAATAAAATCCATTGCCCTTTATAAGAGACTTGTTTTTCATTACTCACCAACTGACATCCTTCCAGGGACTTTACCAGCTGAGCGTTCTGACAAGAGAGAATGGAACCAGCCAAGTTCAGCATTACACACACTGCAGACAGCAGCATGAAAAAAGTTATCTGGGAAAAAAACAAACAGCCTATTATTATTCACTGCAAGAGGCAAACAAGAAAAAAATATCATTTAGACATTCAAGACTTCCAGCCGGTCATACAATTACATGGATGGTAACATTTTATACATTGTAAAGAAGAAAGTAGAGTATTCTTTCATCTGACAACATCCTGAGTCTCACACTATAAGAGAAAGCTAAATCAAAACTAGACTTGACTATCATCTATTTTTCTTCAGCCATTTCAAAATCATCCATTTATCTCCCACTTCTATCACACACTCTGAAAATTTAATGGGTTTTATGAATTAGCATTATTAACAAGTAAGATTTGAAAAAGGTATTTTTATAATCAAAAGTAGTCTTAAAACAATTTAAATCCCTTTTGATGAGGATACGGGTATCTTAAAGAGGAAAAGTATTTGTGAATATCATGTATCATGAGTTTGTACAAGTTGGGGAACAAAAGGTGAATAAAATTCTGGATATATATAACTACTTGATTTTTAAACAATTACAATTTAAGCAGCATCCTCCATATCAATTACCCATTGTGTTAATTACTCCTTTCCCCTCTTTTCAAAATACGTCAAAACAATCATTAACTTGATTGCATCAGCTTAACTATCATTTTATTGCTTTAAACATAAAAAACCTGGCCCAGTGCGGGCAGACAGAAATCTCAGTATGTAGGGAACTTCATAGGTAGGGAAATAGAAAGGCACAAGCAGTAAGAGGCCAAGAATAAACATGTGCTCAATATGTGGCCACCTTAAATATTCAGTGTTCACGTTGCCATATAACACTTATATTCCTATTAAGTTATCCGAAATTAGTAAGAAATTCTGTTGCATCTTTTTTCCGTATGCATGCCCATAGTTTACAAACTTTCCGGTCACTGTTCTCACAAGATGTTATCTTCCATCAATGCATATGGTACAAATATTTTTGGCAACCTTAAATCCAAAATGGCTGGATCTTTTTTAGTGTTTTTCAAATGAAAAACAAGAATGTGAATAATTTCCCTCTTCACCAACCTAAGCCTTCCTTGACAGAAAAATTCCCAATTGATATATCCAAGGGTTAAATTATATCTCCATTGCATATTCTGATAGAAAACAAGATTTCAAGTATTTTTACAATTTAACACTCCTATATTGTGTGTATGAAAAAGAATCTGTGACAAATCTGTGTCAAAGTCAAAACTTCTAGAATAAAAGACATACTGCTACCATATAATAATGGGCAACTAGATGATGTCTGTGTCTCTGTATATTGTCACATATGCAGAGAAACACTGATACTGTAAGTAGTATAAAATCTGCCCTAATGGATACCTTGCAGATTCAATATTTATATGTCACCTCATTTTATTATTTCATTTTTGTGTATTTAATCATTGTAACCCAAGAGCTTTATGCATTTATTTTTGCTAATAGAGGCAAAAATTAATATACTTGATAGAGTGATAGTTGTTAAAACATTGAGCTTTCTAACATACTAAACATGATTTTTAACATACTTGTTCTAGCCCTTTAACTGCAAATTCATTCGAACAGTTAATAGAACTTTTACCAAAAATAGGAAATTGATTTCTTTTTATTTACTTGTTTTGTTGTTTATTTTTTATGTTGCCAGTATTTCAATTGCTAACCTTGTACTGCAAATTCTCCTGGAGTAAATCGACATTACTGGCTATATCATATTCCTTTTATGAACCATACACATGTTCCTGAAAATTCACATCTTTAAAGAAGTCCTGCTTGCCCTACAGAAAGGAGTAGCCAGGTGTGTAAATGGACATCAAAATTTGATTCAAAAAAATTTAAACATCAGACACCTTTTCTCTGACAAGCACAGTTCACATATGAAACTTCAGCCATTTCAAAAACCACCAAAGTAACAAAAGGCAAACATCCTCTAACTTTATGTTGATTGACTTGGGTAGGCTCACAGGAAAAGAAAAATACATGGTGTGATGCTAAGGCTGATGAATCCAGTCCTTTGCTGACTTATAAGTTCTATATAAAGTCATCAGAACTGTGTAGAATCTCAACACCAAATCCCCTTTATAGCTCTCCTGCTACAACACCGAAGAGTAGTTAATTCTTCATGGTTAAAACACTTTCCTTATTTATTCAGTTGTCCCCTCATTAATCCCTGGCAGAACCAATGCAGCACTTGCTACTCAAAGATCCTTCCTCAGCTAACGAAGTCTACAAAGTTCTGAAAGCTCAGAGAAAATAGAGTCCCCTATGCTGAAGGAACACCTACTGTATCAACTCTGCTCCAAATGCCTTTCATTAGTCACATACCTTCAGGAAAAGAAGGGTCCCAAACAGTTTTTGAAAACTACCACAAGCACTTTTTTGGAAAAACAAACAGAACACTCCTATAATCTCCGCATTATTAACCAAAAGACAGAAGCTGTGTTACAAATTTTAGTTGCCAGCTTCACATTCTTCCAAGCATCACAGCTGACAACAAGGTTTAGAACCTATGTCAGGTTTATCTATCTTTATTGTACTCTCTCCGTATCAGCATTCATTAATGATGAAACCCGTCTTGGCAGTTCCAAAGTAACCTCCTCCTCTTGTCACGTGCAAAGACAAGAGAGAAGGATCCCGCACTCTGTCAAAATCATGTAACAGGCTCTTAAATTTTCTGCTCTTCTCTGTGGGTCTAAGACTCACATTCTGTATAGAAGTTGCATTTAAAAGTGACAGCCACCAGTGACACGGTCACATATCAAACAGTGGAGTTCTCTTTCACACTTATCTTACCCAGTTTTGCTATTTTATGCCTCACTTCTCAATGTCCCGGGCAAGGCATTACCTAAGCTGGGTTGGACGTGTAGTTAGAAGGGAAAACAGGGGTTGCATGCAAGCCTTTTGCAACTACCTTGCTTCTTGCAGAGCACAAACGGCCTAATCAAAGCATTGTAAATATTTCCAATATCCTTCCTTAAAGCTTCTCAGATAAATACCAAAAAAGCTTTCCACTGATGGAGTAGGACACACCTGTTACGCTGTTACCACAACTTTTGAGGTGAAAGTTCACCACCATGCTGGAAGCCACAACAGAGAAAAGGAGACATAAAAATATCAATTACCACATTAACAGGCATTAAAAAAAAAACCTTCAGCGTGCTTAATGTTTTTATCACAAATCAGTCTTTTCTAACACTGGCACAAGTACAGCAGTAAAGATAAACATATCTGCAACCCTTTGAAGGAGTGGTCATTGAGGATTATGATGGACAGCCAACACCACATTATGAAACACTGTAGATGAAGTTAGATATACATTATTCGTGAAATTAAGTATGTCTAATTTCCACATTAAAATTTTCCTCAGAAAGTGAGCTACTGAATGTTTGCTTTGAGCGCTCAGTGTGACATACTTGCAGGAGCAGT